ATGGGGCACATATTCATCCCACTGACACCAATGATGGGGCACTATTCCTCCCACTGACACCATTGATGGGGCACTATTCCTCCCACTGACACCAATGATGGGGCACTATTCCTCCCACTGATACCAATGATGGGGCACTATTCCTCCCACTGACACCAATGATGAGGCACTATTCCTCCCAATGACACCCACAATGGGGCACTATTCCTCCCACTGACACCCACAATGGGGCACTATTCCTCCCACTGACACCAATGATGGGGCAGTATTCCTCCCACTGACACCAATGATGGGGCACTATTCCTCCCACTGACACCAATGATGGGGCACTATTCCTCCCACTGATACCAATGATGGGGCACTATTCCTCCCACTGACACCAATGATGGGGCACTATTCCTCCCACTGACACCAATGATGGGGCACTATTCCTCCCACCGATACCAATGATGGGGCACTATTCCTCCCACTGACACCAATGATGAGGCACTATTCCTCCGAATGACACCCACAATGGGGCACTATTCCTCCCACTGACACCAATGATGAGGCACTATTCCTCCCAATGACACCACACAATGGGGCACTATTCCTCCCACTGACACCAACGATGGGACACTATTCCTCCCACTGACACCAACGATGGGGCACTATTCCTCCCACTGACACCAATGATGGGGCACTATTCCTCCCACTGATACCAATTATGGGGCACTATTCATCCCACTGATACCAACGATGGGACACTATTCATCCCACTGACATCAGTGATGGGGCGCTAGTCCTCCCCACTGCAAAATTACAGTTATGAAGTAGCAACGAAAATAATTTTATGGTTGGGGGTCACCACAACATGAGGAACTGTATTAAGGGGTCGCGGCATTAGAAAGGTTGAGAACCACTGCACTAGGCATTTGTGCCCTCCTGATTTTTTCTTTTGTTGTCTTCCCCGGTTGAGGAGGGCAGCATCTACTACACATTCCTGGCAAAGTTCATTATTATTATTATTATTATACAGTATTTATAAAGCGCCAATAGTTGGCTCAGCGCTGTACATTACAAAGGGGGACAGAACATGTGACAAAACAATAACAATACAATGCAAAACATGAGGGGATCGAGGGCCCTGCTCCTTGGAGCTTACAATCTAGGAGGGAGGGGATGGTGGTACAGGAGGAGATAGCTGTGGGGGATGGAGTGGTAGGAGGAGTAGAGGAGATCGGCAAGTTAGCAGGGGGTGGGGTAGGCTTCCCTGAAGAGATGGGTTTTCAGGGTGCGCCTAAAGGAGAGGAGAGTAGGTGATAATCTGATGGGTTGGGGCAGGGAGTTCCAGAGGATGGGCGACACCCTGGAGAAATCCTGGAGGCGGGCATGGGAGGAGGAGACCAGGGAACTAGAGAGAAGGAGGTCTTGTGAGGAGCGGAGTGTGCGTGTTGGGTGGTACTTGGATATTAGGTCAGTGATGTAGTTCGGGGCAGTATGGTGGACGGCTTTGTACGTCAGTGTTAGGATTTTGAATTTGATCCGTTGCGCAATAGGAAGCCAGTGGAGGGATTGGCAGAGGGGGGTGGAGGACACTGAGTGGAGGCCAGTGGAGGGATTGGCAGAGGGGTGGTGGCGGAAACGGAGCGGTTGGAAAGGTGAATGAGTCTGGCAGCCGTGTTCAGGATCGACTGAAGCGGGGATAGCCAGCGGCGAGGCAGGCCAGTGAGGAGGGAGTTGCAGTAGTCGAGTCGTGATATGATGAGGGAGTGGATGAGCTGTTTAGTGGTTTCTGGGGTTAGGAACGTGAGTATTTTGGTGATGTTGCGGAGGCGGAGTCTGCATGTTGCAGAGGTGGAGTCGGCACGAGTTTGTTAAAGATTGGACTTGGGGCTGGAAGGATAGGTTGGAGTCCAGAATGACACCAAGTACTCTGGCCTGCGGGGCGGGTTTGATGGTGGCATTGTTGGATGTGATGGAGAAGTCAATGGGGGGTAATGTCCAGGCTGGGGGGAAGACAAGAAACTCGGTTTTGGAGAGGTTTAGTTTAAGGAAGTGGAGCGACATCCAGTCTGATATGTCGCTCAGTAGGTGTGTGATTCGGGTGGAGACCGAGGGGGTGAGGTGGGGGGGTTGAGAGATAGATTTGTGTGTCGTCGGCATAGAGGTGGTAGTTGAAGCCGTGATAGTGTATGAGTTGGCCAAGGGAGGAGGTGTGTAGATGGAGAAGAGAAGGGGCCCAAGGACAGAGCCTTGAGGGACCCCAACAGAGAGGGGGAGTGAGGGGGAGGTGGTAGCATTATAGGTAACGCTGAAAGAGCGTTGTGACAGGTAGGATGAGAGCCAGGAGAGAGCAGATTCTCTGAGGCCGACGGAATGTAGTTTTTTGAGGAGGAGGGGGTGGTCGACTGTGTCGAAGGCCGTGGAGAGGTCAAGGAGTAGGAGCACTGAATAGTGGCCATTAGCTTTGGCGGTTAGCAGGTCATTGGAGAGTTTGAGTAAGGCAGTTTTGGTGGAGAGTAGGGGACGGTAGCTGGACTGTAGGGGATCGAGGAGGTTGTTGTCGTTGAGGTGAGAGAATAGGTGGGTGTAGACTAGGCGCTCAAGGAGTTTAGATGTAAATGGGAGCAGGGAGATGGGTCTGAGGTTGTTTGGGTCATTGGGGTCCAGGGAGGGCTTTTTAAGTATGGGGGTGATGTGTGCATGTTTCAGAGGGGAGGGGAAAGTGCCGGAGGAGAGGGAGAGATTGAAGATGTGGGGTGAGGGAGCATAGGATGGAGGGGGAGCGAGGTCATAGGAGTTGGGGAGGGGATAGGGTCGAGGGGGCAGGTGGTGAGACAGGCATCAGAGAGGATCTTGGAGACTTCCTCGATGGTAGCGAGGAGGTAGAAAGTGTTGAGGGAGGTATGGTATGAGGAATGCTAAGTGGGGTGGGTGTCTGTGTAGTGGCGTTATCCCTACGAATTGCGTCAATCTTGTTTTGGAAGTGGTTTGCAATCTCATGGGCAGTGAGTGAGGCACTGGGTGGCGGTGGGGGCGGAGAAAGTAGAGAGTTAAAGGTAGAGAAAAGCCGACGAGGACTCGAAAAGAAGGTATTGATGAGAATGACAAAGTAGGCTTGTTTGGCAGCATGAAGGGAGGAAGTGTATGTTAGTAAGGCAGATTTATAACTGGTGAATGCTTGGTGGGATACTAGTAATAGCGGTGATCAGCGACCTATAGCGTGAGTGCGATAGTGTTGGGGGAGCTTCAGTATGAGGAATGTAGGGTGGGGTGGAAGTGGAGGTCAGAGCAGTGGTGGGGCCGTGGGAGAGGGCTGATGAGGGGGTAGCTGAGCTGAGTGAGGGGGAACGGGGTTGGAGGGAAGTTTGAGCAGCGACGAAGTCCCTGCGGGTTATGTCGAGGGGGAGGGGGGATGAGGGGGTAGCTGTGTAAGAGGGGACGGGTTGAGAGGGCGTGTGAGTTGCGGCCATGTCCTTGTGAATTGTGTCAATCTTGTTTCTGAAGTGATTGGCAATCTCAAGGGCGGTGAGTGAGGTGCTGGGTGGAGGTGGGGGTAGTGAGAGTAGAGAGTTGAAGGCGGAGAAGAGTCGGCGAGGATTGGAGGAGAGGGCCTTGAAGAGGGTCAGGAAGTAAGCTTGTTTGGCAGCAAGGAGGGAGGAGGTGTAGGTGTGGAAGGCAGATTTGTAGCGGGTGAAGGCTTGTTGGGATTTGGTTTTGCGCCATAGTCGCTCCAGGGCACAACTGTGTCGTTTGAGGGTTTTGGTGTGATCAGTCTGCCAGGGCTGGAGCGGTCGGGGTCTGATGTTGCGTGTGGTTAAAGGCGCTAGTGAATCAAGGGCTGTTGACAGCACGTTGTTGTAGGCAGTCATTGCCAAGTCAGGGCAGGACAGGGGGAGGATGCTGTTGTGGAATTGATCAACTGCAGAGTGGAGGGGGGCAGGGTTAAGGTTGCGGAGGTTACGGCTGGTAGTAGTGTGACATTTGGAGGGGTAGGCGTTGGAGGACGAGGAGATAGAGAAGGTAATCAGGTTGTGGTCAGGGAGAGGGAAGGGGGTGTTAGTGAGGTTGTGGGGAGCGCAGCAGTTGGAGAAGACAAGACCATGGTCCATTGTATATCATACATCATTTGTGGTCATCTTTGGTAGACCTCTGAGTGCTGAAATGTACAGAGTTTTCATGTGTGTACATCTTTTGTATCTCTTGGTTGACATTTGTGCTATAAGGGAAATGATGAGAAAATTATCCATCAAGATGCCCTTCAATACATTCATAAGGCTTATAGAGTAAGATGAACTAGAAATGTATTTGACTTCTTCTCATTGTTTTATAGATGTTCTTACTATATCTGAGATCTCAGGGGATCGTCGTATTACTCATATGAAGGAAACAACTCTAACTTGGCAGATAACACATTTCAGACAAAAAGAAATCCAGATAAATGTATTTCTGAAAAGATATAATGCCACAAAAAAACAGCTTATTGCCTCCTGGGAACCTACAGAACGGACAACATCCAATAATTCTGTTGTTCTGCCTCTTCTGGAAGGAAATGCTGAACACCAAACATTGTTACTTGTTGAGATGACAAAATCCTGTATAGGAATTGTACGAGTATCTCTGCTCCATTACTATCACCCCGAGTGCAGATATAGATGACGGCGCCGTGCTTGGTGTAGAGGTGGAACACGCTTCCCTAAAACAGCCCATCTCTGCATGCAGGACTCTGAATGTGTACAATACAGTAGCAGGTAAGTAGTGGGTATGCTGTAGGTACTGAAAAAGGGTTTTATACTACTTAAAGTGTTCCTAAACCCGGACCCCGCATTCACTGTATCTGCTCTCCCCGGACCCCGCATTCACTATATCCGCTCTCCCCCCGACCCCGCATTCACTATATCCGCTCTCCCCGGACCCTGCATTCACTGTATCCGCTCTCCCCGGACCCCGCATTCACTATATCCTCTCTCCCCGGACCCCGCATTCACTATATCCGCTCTCCCCAGACCCCGCATTCACTATATCCGCTCTCCCCGGACCCTGCATTCACTATATCCGCTCTCCCTGGACCCCGCATTCACTATATCCGCTGTCCCCGGACCCCGCATTCACTATATCCGCTCTCCCCGGACCCGCATTCACTATATCCGCTCTCCCCGGACCCCGCATTCACTATATCTCATCTCCCCGGATCTGCGCATTCACTAATATCCGCTCTCCCCGGACCCCGCATTCACTATATCCGCTCTCCCCGGACCCCACATTCACTATATCCGCTCTCCCCGGACCCCGCATTCACTATATCCGCTCTCCCCGGACCCTGCATTCACTATATCCGCTCTCCCCAGACCCCCGCATTCACTATATCCGCTCTCCCTGGACCCTGCATTCACTATATATCCGCTCTAACGACACTACACAGAACATGGAAATGCAATTATTTTAGTAAATATAAACTGCTAAATACGTTTTTCATCAGCAGTATATAGCAGTATTGTGATGTCTATCAGTGTCCAGCAGAGCACTGGTTAAAGCTTGTTGGAGGAGTTTTCATTTTGCTCTAGGAGGATGCAGAACCCCTGACCTCTGTCTGGACAGTGCTGATTGGCCCTGTGCTGATGACATGCACTCTCCCAAGAAAAATAAACCTCTCTAGCAACACACCCCAAACAGAGCATGTGCAGAGTAACTCCACACAAAATGTCTTATTAGGATATAAAAGGAGGACACAAGAAGGGAGGATCAGAGAGGACAGGATCAAAGAGAATTTTTAACACAATTAACCCCTTAGGTTCCACAGTGAGTATAACAAGCTTTCTGTAGTGCCTATACAGACTGATTATAACTGTTGTAGATTTACTAACAGTGATAAAGCGATACTAATGGTGTTATATATGATAAAAGATGTTATACTTACCTGCTTTATGTAGTGGTTTGGGTCACATAGTTAGTCTGGCTGAAATAAAAACAAAAGTCCATCCAGTTCAACCAAAAATATGTTATAATCCTACACCCACAGTTGATCCAGAGGAAGGCAAAAAAAAAACAACAAAGCACGATCCAATTTGCTCCTGCAGGGGAAACAATTCCTTCCTGATCCCCCGAGAGGCAATCGGATATTCCCTGGATCAACTTTCCCTATAAATGTTATAATCCAGTTATATTCTGTGTATCCAAGAAAGAATCCAGGACTTTCCTACAGCAATCCACTGAGCTGGCCACAACCAACTCTGGAAGGAGTCTATTCCACATTCTCACAGCTCTTACTGTGAAGAAACCTTTCCGTGTTTGGAGATTAAATGTATTTTTCCTCCAGACGTAAAGAGCGCCCCCTTGTCCTCTGTGATGACCTCAGGGGGAAATAACTACACCGAGTTCACTAAATGAACCACTGATGG